GGATTACGTAGAACCAATGCTTTATATAGATCATTTCTAATATGTGATGAGCCTTTTCAATTAGTAGTAAATACCATATGATTACCGTTATAAAGAAGTTTAATTAATAGTATCTTTATTATAAATAATGAGAAGTTCAAGGGGCCTCTCTAATCATTTTAATTTAGAAGGGAGAAGAGTAAAAAAATATGTCATAGCTTTTATTTAATAGTTAGATTTACCCTCCATTACACCATGTGACTATTAGCAGATTTGTCACTTGTCACCCACCCATACCCCCTATTTGGACGAAAACCTCAAATCAACCCAAATTAACCACAAATATCTTAAAAACAACCCATTTCAAAATTGAAACATGTATGATCCTCTATCTATCTTAATCCAAACAAATTTAGCCCATATCTAAAAGACTCCAAAGAACTTCAACATATGGGAAATAAGTTAAATTTGTTTGGGTTAAGATAGACAGATGGTCGGTCATGAGTTTCAATTTGAAAATGAGTCGTTTCAAAGAAATTCAGGTTAATTAAAGGGTATTCGTCCGAGTAGGAGTACAAGTGACAAATTTATAGAGAGCATGGATATAAATAGTTGCATAGTATAATGGAGCGTAAACCTAATATATTAAAGGAACTAGTATATTTACCCGCGCTTCACGCGGAAATTTAATATCACGAAATTTATAAAATAATACTTAAAGCCTACCGGTCATTAAAATTAAAACACTATATTATTTTACATACAAGACTACATAGTAACAAACATTAATAATGTAAAGGAAAATGAAAATGAAAATGTAACACCCCGGAAAAATTTGAGCTAAGACTCGAACCATCCTTCGTTGTGAGTAGGATTTTACCGAGGAATTTAAAATTTTCTAAAGTGTTAAGGTCACTAGATGTGAAACCTTGAGTTCCAAAAAGAACTAAATTGGAAATAGCAAAATTCTGAAATTGTGCAAGTTATGCTTAAGTTATGAATTTTGGGTCAACTTCTAATGACCATAACTCCTAGTACAAGATGAGTTAGGTGATATACAAGATGGAAAATGAAAGGTCTTTGAATTATCTTTCCAACACCATCTAGTTTGCTAAGTTTCGAGGTCGGATGAGTGAGATGTGCTCTTTTGAAGTCAGGCTGTCCCGTTAAGGAAAGTTACCCGAAAATAGTGAAGGGTATTTTGGTCTTTTCCTTACCAAATCAGATTTAATTCATTTTTAGTAAGGTTTTAAGGGTCTAATCCTATTAGGTTCAGTTTTATAATCCTAATATACGCCTAGGGTTTTAGTTGAGAGTTCAAGAAGAGAAAAGAGGAGAAAAGAGGAGAAAAGAGGAGAGGATCAAAGCGTTTGTCGAGTATCTTGAGTTTTGTTGAGGATTTTTGCCATGAGTTTGATCCCTAAGAGGTATGTAAGCTTCTATAGTGTTGGGTTCATTCACCCACACGCCAATCATATTATTTTCAACGTAATTTCATTCTCAAAAGTTGAAGGAATCGAGTTCTTGACGTTCATTCTAAATCTTGTTTTGTTGGAGTTTTGATGAATTCTTGAGATGAAAGTTAGTGATTTGAGTAGATTAGTGTGTACTTAGGTTGGGTAATTGAATATGAGGAAAACTTGAGAAAAGAAATCGATTAAAAACAATCTAGGATCAGAGAACGAGAAGAAAAATTCGTCGGGTCGTTCTGGAGGAGGGGTGGCGTGACGCGCCACAGATACGCCAGGAGGGCTGGTGCGCCAGAATTGGGTTCCAGTAACTTAGGGGCTGGCACCCCGCTCCAGGAACGTGCCCGGGTCATCTGCCCCCACTCTTTTTTCGTCGTTTAGCCTATCTAAGTTCTTCTAAAGTGTACTAACACTTCCTATTGATTCTAACTACTCTAAATGACTTCTAAACATCTAGAAATCATCCATGAACATGAATCATAACTTTGAATTAATGATTCAAATTCAAAATAGAGTTAAGAGATAAGCCTTGAAGAGTTCTTCCGAACATTTTGAGATAGTCCCTTTGAGGAGTCTTCTACAAACTCAAATAACTTGTTTCAAGACTCGAGCAAGTGAGTATAAGAATGAGGAGAATGTATTCATGAACCTACTTTGTCATCACGAGATCCTTCATATCATGAACCATGCTCTTGAATTCATAATTAAAATTCAAGAGAGAGTTAAGAGTAAAGTTCAAGAAGTCTTTGAGTTCAATTGTGAATCCTTTGAGATCAATTATCAATTTGAACTAAGTTTTGAGGAAGTAAGCATGAGAATGAGAAGAGTCGATTACACGAGTTCCGTGTTGTTATGTAGACCCCCGAGTCTAGTCGTTCATGCCCATAAATTCCACATGAACTCCATAAGTTGAGTATTTTTGAGAGCAGTAGTATCTACAAGTTTTAAGTCTTGATTATTGAGTTCCTAATCATTTTTTTGAGATTATATTCCTAATCACGGGACTATTACATGTTACCCATGAAGTCCTTGAGTTGAGTAGTTCATGCTCATAATTCCGCATGAACCCTATAAGTCGAATAGTCTTCAGATGAGAAGTATCTTTGAGTCCTTGAGTGAGTAGTTCATGCCCATAATTCCTCATGAACCCTCTGAGTCGAGTATTCTTTAAATAAGTATTATCATTGAAGTTCTTGAGTTTCGAGTATTGAGTTCTATGTGTGGTTATTGTAAACCTTGAATTGAGTCGTTCACGTCCATAATTCGGCATGAACCTTATTTTGAGAAGTCTTTTACAATTGTTTTAGACTTGTTTTAAAGACTTGAGCATTGAGTTGAGTAAGAGCAAGAGTTGAGTTCAGTTCTTCAAAAGATTATATGGGAACTAAGTATTCCCAAATAGTAAATGTTTTCACATTTAAATAAGAGAGGAAACATCGATTTCTATGAGAGCTTTTAAGCTAGTTTTTGAGTAATAATCTCAACCACAGAAAGAGTTATGTTTTCAAACATATGAGCTAGTTATATTTTGAGAGTAGTATTGAACACCGATATGTGGACGAGTTCAGATAACTTAAGTCTCCATAAACCATGTAGCCAATGTGGATATAAATGGTCATACTTTTTAGTTGATTCCTTAATGGTTTTTAGCATAGACTAGTGGATTCACTTAGTTGAGGCGTTCTATATCCCGACAAGTTATAGGACTGGCAGCGTGGGCGAGACGATGTATCATAACATAGCTCATAGTGATGGTTATCGGTTAGAGAAACTCCCACAGAGATATTTTGTATTCTTATATACACATAGTTTACTTCGTATTTTCATATACAAGCAAAGTTTATTTGGTGTTCCTTGCATACACACTGAGTTGCTTTCTACTGTTTTAAAAGCTTTCCATTTATGGCAAATGTATTGTTACTTTATACTCCCTCCGTCCCTATTTACTTGTCCATATTTCCTTTTTTAGTTGTCCCTATTTAGTTGTCCATTTTGACAAATCAAGAAAGGACAACAAATTTTTTCCTATTATACCCTTATTTACACTTCTTGAAAATTGTAAAAGTGTATGTTGTTTCCCTCCAATTTATTTCACTTGAATTCAAATAAGTGGTGGTAATTTTGAAGTGAAAAGTTGTCATAAGGGTAAAATTGTAACTTCACTGTGCTAATCATTGTTGCCTTAATCTGTGTGCCATTTCTAAAGTGGACAACTAAAAAGGGACGGAGGGAGTATTGAGTTAAGTATCCAGAGTTAAGTACCCAGAGTCGAGTATCTTATTATTGAGTTGAGCCTTATTTCACTGAGTTGAATATCTTATCATTGAGTTGAACTATGTTTCTTATTCTTGAGTTGGGTTTAGCACGAGTGAGTTGAGAGGAGGTAAGTATGTTTTCTTTTTATCAAGTTCAAACTTATGTTTATGCTTTAGAATACCTCTTACATGCTCGTACATTCCACGTACTGAGCAATTTGGCATGCATCGTTTCACGATGCAGATATAGGTATTCAGGGTCATTAACAAGAGCCTCGTTGATACCACATGAAGTTCGAGTGAGCTATGGTGAGCCTCCTTGCTTCCGGAGGATTTCATTTACTTTTCAGTTTTGTCAGGATATCGTGGGTCTTGTCTCGACTTTCATCCTTGTCATTTAGAGGCTTCATAGATAGACAGTAGAGTTTGAAAAGTCTGTTTTCATTTATCTTGTTAAATGTTTTAAAGACTTAAGTTGCCTATTTTATGCCGAGTTGAATAATTTGTTTTTATTCAGAGTTTTTCATTTGAGTTAAAGCTTTGTAATTGAGTTTCATGAATTTTTATTTAGTTTTTAAGCTTTGTATGCTTGAGTTAGTCTTCCACTTGTAGTCAGCTAGGATGAGGGTTCGCTTGGGGACTAACAATAGTTCTTGAGTGCCGACTACGTTCAGGGTGTAGACTCGGGTTGTGACAGAAAATTATAACATCTTATCATTTATCCTTAATAACATGAGCATAAAATTATGACTGTAAAAAAAAATATCAGGATCTGTAACTTAAGCAATGGTGTCAGTGAGCAACTCAACAGAAGCAAAGTACAAGAATATTTAATTGCGCAGAAGAAGAAGAATAAGAAGTTCAGAATTTTTGTTGTTTTAAAATGAGAGGAAATCTCTCTATTTATAAACAATAAAGGGTAGTGTGTAAAAATGTTTGTTGTGCCTTATCAGAAATATCACAACTATTTGGAAAAGTTGTAACCCTTCGGAAAAGTCACAACACTTAATTGAAGTCGCAACTTTTCATAAAAATCACAACTTTTCATAAAAGTCACAATTTTTTATAAAACTCACTACTTTTCATGAAAGGAAAGACTAGTTTTAGAAATAAATAGATTAAAAGGAAAAAATAATTTATAAAAATAAATAAATTAAAAAAAAATCCTGATTTATGGTACGCCACGCATGGACATAAGGTTTTCTTTTATATACATATATAATTTAGAAATATTTTTAATCCTTATTCTATTAAAAAAATATAAAGAAGCAAATAGTGGGTCTTTTAAGTTATGAAAATGGCGCCCAAACAAAGACAGAAATTGACGGCGGCGGCGGCGGCGGCGGCGGCGGCGGCGGCAGCAGCAGCAGCGACGGTGCCGGAGCCGACGACGATTGATTCAATCGGAGAAGACCTTCTTAACAACATTCTGTCTCGGTTATCAGCAGAATCATGTGCATCAGCAGCATGTGTGAACAGTAGTTGGAATCTCATCATCAATCGCTTTCTCACTCTTCCAAACCTTTCTTCTGCTCTTTCCTGCAATCCTTGTCTTCAGGTATAAGATTCATCCTTCAGGTTAGGGTTTATGTTTAAGAATTTGAAGGTTTATGTTTAAGAATTTGAATTTTGATGAGAAATGATGATTTTTTTTTTACTAAAATTGACTGTAATTTATTGAAAACTTCATGGAAGAACTAATTTTGGACAATGGGAGTATCTTGTTTAGTTTATGACAAAAGTTTATTGGGTTGAAATTGAACATTTGGTGCAGGATGCTGTGGATGAGGTTGTTGACAAGGTCTTAGCTAGGCCGATTCGGCCCCAGTTTGTAATGGCTTCCATCGGTCCTTCTTATGACTTGAAGGAAGCTCACTATCTCGTATGTGATCTTCTCTCTCTATATGTACTAGTCTCTCTTTACGTGTATTGCATGTGTATTTCATATATCATTTATTATAGAATATAGCATACTTGATCCTTTATTGAATGAAGTCAAAAGGCATACTCTTCGACTAACTTTATATGTATTCCATCAATCACATTATAAAATAATCTTTGATATATCTCATATTGAACTTTGATTGCTCCAATAGATGATGTCGAAAACAACATTTTTTCATCAACTTTATCTATGATATATTCTTCTGCCATAATGATTGTCGATTACGCCTTTCCATTCTTGTCTTATCAAAGTTGATTACTCTTGTTATAGAATTTTATAACCTCACTTTTTCCATTTTTAAATTTGCACCTTCATCTTATACACTTACCAGTGTCAGAGTTCATATCTCAAAGATAGTCTTTTTATCTTAATATCTTCCTCAGGTGACCTTGGTCCTTTCTTCATGTTAGTATTAGCACAATAATCTTCAGACTTTGACGAAAAGCGTCCTCTTTTCTCTTTTCTTAATCACTTCGCAACATACATATATAATTATATATGTACACTCAATTGTAATTATCACCATCAAATTTTAAGAAATAGTACAAGTAAAACAAACATGCACATACTCAATGCGACATGTATATGCAGATACAAGTTCAAGAGAGAACAAATATTATCAAAATGTGATGGAAGGTGAAAGTAAAACTCTGATTAAGCTTAATAAATTACGTATTTGATTAGGTGAAAGATTAACCATGAAAAATGAAAGTGTAAACTTCTTTGATTGATTTTTGTTCCTTTCCTAAGCGGTGGTTTTATTAGTCTCAAGGATCATGCGTGTTGACATTCATACGGAGCATTGGTTGAGTGTAGGAGTAGTTTATTTTTTTTTAAAAGAAGAGTGGTTGTTGAGTTTTAACGGGTATTTTTGTATATAGATATAGATGAGTGTTTTTAGTTGGAGGTATTATAGTAATCCCTAACTAATGCGATAAGATTTTCCAGTTATAATTATTTGATTTAAGAAAAAACATGCTCATTGATATAGAATTCGCGCATGATGTGCATGTCCAGATACTCGGAATACTTATAAAGAATGAGAAGCACTGAAGTCAAAAGTTAAATTTCTAAAATGCTTTTAATTTTACTAAATATCATTCCTTATTTATAATTCTTATTAAAGAAAATGTGTCAAATCAATGATATTTATTTATGTTTGACACCATTTATATTTTGACTATTCATTTGATATTGCAATCAATTTTATCTCAAGACCGATTTGAGAAAAAGTGATATTGTAGTTATTCCAATGACAAATCACTTTCGAAATGTGTTGGCCTGATGCAACACAAAAGTGAAAGACCGGTATTATTTTATGTGGGCAGTCATGAGAGAAGATTTTCACCTAGTTCTTTGAGCATAGTTATCGAGTGATTCATACACAATATCTTTTTAGGCACAAGCAAGCCTATAATCGATCTATGCGAACTACTTAATATATGGAGGCAATCAATATGAAGATTAGAAAGTTAAAATACGCGAAACAATCAGAATAAAAAGGGCCCTTTTATTTTTCTTCAATTGAAATGTTGTACTTTGTTAAACTAGAGATATTAATAAAACCATCCATTCAACGTATTGAATTGTCACACATTGGAATAAACTATATGTGCTGCTTATGGATCCATATTGTTCTGCAGATTACTGGTAGATTCGGTTGCCAAATTCCAGTTATCACTTCGATATCCTATGGAATTTTTGGGCAAGATGCTAACACTAACCAGTTTGAAGAGGTAAATCTAGTGGTTATAGGCTAGAATCTGCTTGGGATTGCATTCTGACTTCTTCTTAACTAGAATTGACGTGGGGAAAATGATGTTTTTCCAGGTTCAGTGGAACACCATGAAAGATAACCAGGCTCATGAGGATCTTCGTAATGAGGACGAGGGTGTTTTAGTGACTGTTGGTTTCTTGCCAGGATTAATAGTTGATTTAATCCCATTAAAAAGGGCTCGGGTAATCCTCTACTCAAGAAACCGTAACATTTTTACAAATATGTCTGCCTTTATTTAGAGAAATCTGAAGTTCCACTTTTTAACTTGATTTTCGTTTCAAATTTATGAAGTTCCTACTTGGAATTTTGAAGGATATGAATAGTTTTTATCTAGTTGAAAATTTGTGCTAACTTGATTTAAAATGGGATACACTAACTTGGGGAGAACAAATTTCAGGTACTCTTGATTGATGATTTCATGAGGAGTATCACGGACCTCTCGTTTTCTCGTTCTGCATCATCACCAATGGGAATTTTGTTATTTTCTGTAAGTCTCAAGTCTCTTAAGACCTTTCATTTTGTCAAAACAGTTTATTCCCTACTTGTCAAAGTGATGATGCCTTATTTTCCTTAAATTGTGGATAAAGTTAAACCTCATGCTGTCATGCAATTCAGGTTCTGTTTGAGTGTCTGGACTAATCAATTTAGATTTTAGAGTGGGCCGGATTAAAAGTTGTATTGAAGTGTGTGACCAACTCATTTAAGAGAAAGTACACTTTTATTTATTTATATTTGTCTTCAACACACCCCTTTGCGTGCATGCAAAATTCTATTTGATTGGCCAAGCACGAGATATTCTTTTTGAGAATGAGTGGTGGTGAGACTCGAACCTAGGACCTATGCCTGCTCTAATACCATATTGAAGTGTGTGACAGGTTCATCTAAGAGTTTAAGCTGTTAGGGAGAATATTCTTTTATTTATTTAATTTTGTCTTTGGAAAGCTGAATGAACTTTGAGAGACACTCGAAGTTTTTGCTTTTCAAATATCTAGGAACAACCTTCTTTTTCTTACTTGAAAATGTAATTAAATTCATTTGAATGTTGTTCTAGGACAAGGACATTGACATCAAACCGGTCCTTGCAAAGTTGGGTGAGTGAGCTTCATAGTTCTCATCTATGCAATATACTTTTATGGATCCAAATTTCTCTTCTTACTTGATTCTATGAGAAAGAACTTTTATTTTCAGTGCCCCATTTTTGTAGATTATGCTTTTACCGAAGAGACTGTCATTGTGGGTGATGCGGGTTCTCGTTTTTTATACCAAGATGGAACAATAAGTAACCGTTTTAATAACAGAGAGTCCAGTTCAGCTGCTGTAGCTCTTCTGTTTTCAAGGGATACAAACAAACTTCCTGGTATGAATTGCTTCTTGACTGGACTTTGCGGTTTCATATTGTTATCCTGTTTGTTCAATAACAAGAGCACTCCTTTATAAGGCATTCGGGTAGGAGAGAATCTTGCCACCAATGCTAGTCTGATATATTGGGGTGTGATTCCACAATATTTGGGGAACATCACAAACTCAACTTTTGATCAGCTTGGTGCTAACATCTTTGTGGAATAATATGAACTTACCAATTCAAGTACATCTCAATCGTTAGCTAGTTCTATTCCTCAACTTAATTATAAAATAGAAAGAGAGATGGGAAGGAAGAAACATAATCAATTGATCCTCTTCTTCTCTTTTTTATTTTTTTGAGAAAGGTAACAATATTATATATGTGTAGCACAAAGGCTTTGCTAGGCCATCTTTACAGATTACGAAAAAACCACAAATCATAGCTTTCTGCGCCTACTCAAGAATTCTATGATGTCTAACTTTGAAATAACATCCTTAACAAAGACTTGATCATTGCCGGTAATAATGATATCATCAACATAAACCACTAAATAAATACACAGAAATATATGGGTATTTACACAAATATCAATAAATATATTGATGATTAGATTTGTCTTCTACTTAATATTTCCGTATATGTAGGTAATTTAGCATATTATATATCCAGGGAATTTATTGAGAAAATCATTTTCTGGGACCCGGTAAACAGGTGTTGGGGAAACTCAGTTTCATGTAATGTTATCTACTGGCGTTTCACCAATTGGGTCTATATACAAAGCTGTTAATGTTGAGGCGAAATTTCGTGACAATTCTACTCAGTTCATGGTGAGAACAGAAGGCATTGATTATTATCTGGATGGTGAGACTATTTTAGATCAGATTTATGATGAGGTAAGATAGTTCATCTTCTGAAGTAAATTGGGTTTAATGTTTCAGCACCAAAGTTAAGTAGCTAGTTTCTGAAGGAAGTAATTTATAGCTGGTTTGTTTAGAAAGGCAACTACCAAAATACTTGCAAAATTTTGTGGTGTAACTAGTCTCGTTGTTTTTTTTCCCTTTGATTCCTTCCATCATAATGAAATCTTTTAAGTTCAGTAATGCGTGGATTCATCAAATGTCAGAACTCTGTTGCTCTTGCCTCACTTAGCAGGGAAGAGTATACAATGGGTTTAACGAGATGCATTATAGCAGATTGGACATATTTGGATGATTAGAGACTTAGAGTTGATCATGCTGTCCGACTGATTTTCAAATTCTATTGGAAACTAAAGAAAAAAATTCTGACCATCGCAAATTAAGGTTATAAAAGAATTTACAGAAGAATGTTCATGATTGACATGCACAGTTACACAAGGTATAGCATAATAAGAAGCAGTAATGAAATCACTTTTGTTAAACTATTGCTTTTTAAAAAAATAATTTCTTTATGGTTTAATAATCTGCTATAAAGCATAATCTTAAAGTTAATCATACTTATTTAGAACTTAGAAGCTGTCTAATTGATGAAATTTCTCTCCTAGTATACATCTTCCTTCATGAGTGTGTTTGAAAATAATTCACTCCTCTTTTAATTGATGTTGCTTTTCTATGATTTGATTTCACCAGCTGGGAGATCATACCCATTCTCAAACTCTCTATGTTGGAGTTCCAAAGACGAGGAGATGCACTTTTGGGGATGTTCGCATAAGTTCGATGTGTATGCATGAATTCTATTTGGTTTTAAGGTGATTAATGCACCATCGAGCTTGATTATCCTTATGGCCTTCACTTATGATGTTTGATTGTTCTACGATGTTTGGATATGTATGCATGAATTCCATCCTGAGGTGTTTGATGTGTAAAAGCATGCAGATAGAAGGTTTATTCTCTAGGAAGTTTCCATGGTTCATGGAGAGAATGGGGAGTCCTCCTCAACTGAATTTGTTTCTGCAAACATGGAAAAGCATTTTCAATTGTATAACTAATGTTTGGATATCTTTATTATTTTTACTGCTGGTACTTTTCTTTTCTACTTGTATTTGTTGAATCTGTTTTTGAAAATGCTTTTATTGAGCCGAGGGTCTATCAGAAATAACCTTTCTCTCTCACACAAGGTAGGGTAACGTTTGCACACACCCCTTCCTACCCAAACCCCACTTGTGGGATCACACTGGGCATATTGTTGTCGTAGTTGAAAGTGCTGTCTTTACAACTATTTTTGCCTTTCCTCGTCCTCTCTCTCTCTCTCTCTACTTCTGTAACTAATTATATGAATTTGCAGAGGTGATAACGAGTATCTCTATGTCCATGGTGATGGTATCAGTGATTTCGACTCCTTCCAGTTTTACCATGCAAATCCTGATTTGGCATATGCTTCTTGCAACGATGTTTCAAACGACATGAAGCTTCTGAAGCAGGATCTAAACCACCTAAAAAATGATGATCATTCTAATAGCAATGGAAGCATGCATATGCATAAGAAGTCTGTTTTTGGTGGTATGATGTTCGCTTGCTATGGTCGTGGAAAGTTATTTTTTGGTGAACCTAATGTAGATGCCTCACCTTTCTTGGAGAACTTCCCTGGGGTTACCTTCTCAGGAACCTATTGTAATGGAGAAATTGCACATGGAGATTATAGCTTCTACGTAAAGGAGTCTAAAGGACAAAGCTGTATACGTTGCAGTTTGCACGAATTTAGCACTGTCTACCTTGTTATGTCATATACTCCTCCTGCATTGCCAGAAGATTAGAGCTTAACTGGCATTGCCTTTGACAATCTGGTTGCCTGATGGGTAGTGGCAAAAAATCTTTGGTGATTTGAATAGGATATTGCTCTGTACTTTTTGGTGTTGGAATTTGGTGGTAGAGGGAAAATGTCTCCTATACATATTTCAAAAGCCATTCTGGCATTGTTATGTTGTAATTTTAGTTACTTAAATGAACTCTCCTCTTTCAGAGACGACCTCTCTACTCCATAAAGGTAGAAGTAAGGTTTATTTATATCCTATCCTCTTTTGACCATATTTGTGATATTATATTGAGTATGTTGTTGATTGTAAATACATTCTTATCTTCGTATCTCATCAAGTTGGAATCACCTAGGAAAAAAACAACACCTTATTTGAATGATTATATGATGATTCTATCTTATTCTATCTTGATTATCAAATTTTTTCCTTGTTTGATAAAAGTTGTATTGTATACCATAATCGAATTGTTCAAAATTCAACTTGTGTTCCACTAATTATTTATATTTTGGATTCACCACTGCTTACCATTCATTGTGATAAGGTACGTAAGTTCCTTGCATGAGGTTTTCTTCTTAATTTTGTGAAAGAAGACCTCAGACTCGACAACTTTGGGAAGAACGTTGCCTACCAACCATCAACTAAACTCGGTCACACTCAATGAGAATCAGTGATAACCTATAGACATTATTTTGAGAAAAAAATATATTTTTTCTTTAAGAGTGGATATACCATACAAATTCAATCAACATGTTAAAGGTGAGCACCAAACACTAAATGAAAACAAAAACAAAATAAAATTATGTAAGCTCAATAGTATTCTGTTGGTCACAAAAAGATTAAACTTATATTAAACTATAAGGCATTACAAGTAAGAGGCAAAGGCCTAACTGTACTAGAAGGGTCAGTACTACAAAAACGAAGGCTACATGTTAGATGTGCTATTACTATTTTTAGTCATAGATGCTTATACTAAACTATTACTAGTCCTATTTGCCGTCTGATATGGAAGCAGACGATGTGTTACATCACCTTGTTGATCCACAATAAGTGATTGCAGTATAAAGGCCGATGATTCATCTAAAACAATGATATTCTCAAAAATAAAAATTTGTTGTAGAGCCCTTCTTAGCTAGCGCATTCACCACTGGCATAAAAACATATTGCATACCAATTTACCAAAAAAACATACTTACAATTTATATGGACTAGAATTAGATTTGCCAATAATTAAAGGACCAAAATGCTAAAAGCCGAACACTGAAAACACACAAAACCATTACGTCGAGGGGCATTCAGTTCAGAAAATGGATAAACCAAGGCAGAAACCACCGGCGACGGCGTTATCGCCGGCGACGATTGATATGATCGGAGAAGACCTTCTATTCAACATCTTCTCAAAACTACCAGCAGTAGAATGTGCAGCAGCAGCATGTGTGAGCCGTTCGTGGAACGCTACCATCACTCGCCTCCTTTCTCTTCCAAAGCTCTCTTCTGCTGTTTCACTCGATCCTTCTCTTCAGGTTCTTCTATTTTCACATATGTGTAATTCAAAATTTAAGCATATAATCTCTTTGTCTTAATTTATGTTTCGAATGGCTAATGGTTTGGTTGACCTAATTAGAAAAAATGTCACTCTCTTTAGACTAGTTCCACGAGATATCTGTCACCTCCCACATGCAGTTTCTAGGTAACTCTGTCTACCAAGGGCGTTTCAGTGGCAAAGCTAGAATTTTCATGAATAAGTAAACAAATGAAAAAAAATAATTTTAACTGCATATAAGAAGTGTAATTACCCTTCAAATGGTGTTTGGATGAACCCCTCAAGCCTACCTAGCTCTGCGCCATGGGCATTTGGCCATGAAAATTGTGAGTATTGAAAAAGTAGTTTTTGCTTTCAAAATGAAAAAAATGATAGTATTTGAAAATTGGAGTTATGTTTCATCATGAATACTAATTGGAGTGAAAACAACCTTTTGTTGTTTTTCAAATTCCGGAATTCAACTACAACTCTGAAAAAAGGTTAAAAAAAATTGATGGCCGAATACCCCATAGTGTTTTTGCTTCTGGGATTTGAACCTGGGATCTCATGGTGCTCAACCCACTTTATTGACCACTAAGAGACACCCTTGGGTGTGGAAAAATGTCACTCTCGTTAGGTCTGGAAAATGGTGCTACTGCTATTTGAAGAGTCAATTTGATTTGGATTATATTTTTTCCTACTTATTTTAACTATAAGAATTATGATTTGGAGTACTTCTTAAAGAAATTTTGAATATGCAAGTATTACTTATATTGGGGAAGTGAAGAACTGGGTGTCTGAATACTATATGAAGAGTCTATTTGTTTTCGATTATGTTTTTTCAACTGTTTTTACCTAGGGAAAAGGTTTAGAAACGTCCTCCTTCCACCTATCAGATAAAAAATTCCCTCAACGTTTTTTTAAGGTCTAAAAATACCCTTTTTTAACAGCACAATGACATAGCATTGATGAGTCATTTAATGAAACCAGTGGCTTCATCTTATTGGTCCACACAAATTTTAAAATCAAATCTAACTATCCAACCCATCTAAGGTAAAATATTCAAATCCACCAACTAACCCCTTTTTTTTTTTTTTAAATTCACAAGGATTCAAACACCCTGCCTTGTTATCAATCATCTTTTCTCCACCTCTACCAATTGTTCCATCATTGTGTAGAACTTCCAAACAGGCCTATTCATGCAGCAGAAATAATCAACAACCCTCCCCCCCCAAAGTTGGATTTGGATTTGTCATTCGACAATTTTCTAGCAGCCATGGGCCATTCTGCCACCGGAAACCACTCTCATGCCTCGACAGAAATTCTATATTGAACCTGTAAGTACCATTAAAAGACTCCAATCCCTCGCCTTGAAATCCTCTCCGCTCTGGCTCCAGCTCGTTCATGAACATCATAAATATTCAAGTCTTAAAGAAAACACAACAGAAAATCAGGAAGGCAGTGTAACTGCCGGCTGTTCCATAGAAATTCAACCAAAAATGCAAAGGTTCCTTATTCTTCTCTTAGACAAGGAAAAAACAGAGAGGTTCATAGATTGAAAAAAATGGGTTGTAGGTGTGTTTGGATCTTTTAGTTGGATAGTTAGATTTGATTTTAAAAATTTTTGTGGACCAATAAGATGAAGCCACTTGTTTCATTAAATGACTCATCAATGCCATGTCATTGTGCTGTTAAAAAAAGGGCTATTTTTAGACCTTAAAAGGGACGTTGAGGGCATTTTTATAGGTGGAAGGAGGGCATTTTTAAACCATTTGTGATACGTTAAGGCCATTTTTGAACCTTTTCCCTTTTTAACTATAATAATTATGTCTTGGAGTACTTCTTACAGTATTTTTGAATATGCAAGTATTACTTATATTGAAAAAAGTGAAGAAATTGGTGTCCGAATACACACAATAAGTTATAGGAATTGACCTTCGTACTCCAAACCTGACCTTTTTTCTGGGACAGAGGGAGTAATTTATGTTTAAGAGTTTGAATTTATTTATAAATCCCAGAGGAGGCAACAACACTAGGTGATTTTCCCCTTCTGTCCAAGCCAGTGTCGGTGGACACATTTATCTAGTACGTGTGCTGGTGCGAAATAGAAAGTACTCAGTGGAATTAGTTGAGATGCAGACAAGTTGACTCGGACACCATGGTTATAAAAAAAAGAGAAGTGATAAAAGGAAATAGTTAAAATTTGATAACAAAATCAGTTTGTTGGACTTCAGAAAACCAAACAGGAGAACTATTTTGGAACAAAGGCAGTATCTTGTTTAGTGTTTATTATATGAATTTATTGAGTGGGAATTCAATTTTTGGTGTAGGTTGCTGTGAATGATGTTATTGACAAAGTTTTAGCTTGTCCAATTCGGCCCCAGTTTGTCATTGCTTCCATTGGTCCTGCTTTTGACTTGGATGAAGCTCACCGTCTGGTATGCACTCTTCTCTCTGAATTTGGCATTTGTGTGCACTATATGTTGTGACTCGGTCGACAGATCTGTTTGCTAAATTGTCTATATTGAAAAAGAAACATTTTCTGATGAGTAAGTACTTTTTTTACTCGGAGATTAAGATATTAATTTGACTTCCGTACTCTCCCTGTTTCAATTTAAATGGCTTAGGCTTAGTTTGACTTGGCATGGAGTTTATGAAAGATGGTGAAACTTTTGGAACTTGTGCCTTAAATATGACAACATTTGTGTCGCTATAGAATTTTTGAAACTTGTGGTCTTAAATATGGCATAACATTAATCTCAAGAGGCATTCAATGGACAATGCCTAGCAAGATTGTTGACACTCTCTCAAGTTGGGAGGAAGCAGGAATTGAGGCAAAGAACATAAGTTATTGGAGGACAATTCCAGCATGCATCTGGTGGACCATTTGGAGAGAAAGGAATGCTAGATGCTTTGAGGATAGAAGCAGATCCCTACAAATGATCAAAACAGATTGTATTCTGTTATTATGTTTTTGGTGTACAAAGAGTTCCCCTGTAGATGCAGAAGCAATCCTAGAAGTATTAGAATCATGCTAGGCTTGCTGTTTTTGTTCCTAGATTTTCATACGTTTTTTGTAAAGGGGCTTTCAGTACTACATATGTACTGGTTTATAATACAAATCGTTACCTTCTCAAAAAAAAAAAAAAATATGGCATAACATTTGTGTGGCTATCCAAACTTGACTAGAGAATACCGTCCCTATTACTATTTGGAGGACCACTTGGAAAGAGAGGACTTCTAGAATTTTTCAAGACAAAAGGAGAATATCCTAGTCCCAAGTTCATATGTATGCTTTTGCTTTCTTTTTTCGGACAACATGGCTGAGGTAGAAGTCACTCAGGATGTAGAGAGTCTTTACATGGTCTATTATGACTAATAGGACATTATAACTGGTTCACCGCACCAGCACACTCTTGGTGCTGGTCATACATTTATAAAAGCTACTTGTAAAAAAAGGTTTCTTATGAAAAAAATACCTATAGAAAAAACTCTTACAAGTTGTGAAAATTGTATAGAATAATGCCATTAATAGAAGGGGAAAATGTCATATTTGCCTCTCTGCTATTGAAAAAAGTTTAATATTGCCCTTCTTAATATAATCGATCCATGTATGCCCTTAATGTTATACTATTGGTCCATATATGCCCGTACTGTTATACTATCGGTTCATATATGCCCTTAAATTTATAAAAGTGGCTCAAATTTGCCCTTCCTCTGATAAGTGATAACCCCATCCATTAGCTGAAAATGGCATGCCAACTCACCACTCCAATCCTTCTTCTCCCACCACAACCCAAAGTCACCAACACCTTCACCTACCATCATCACCAACATAATGATTCTACTTAGTATTGCATTTGTTAGGTGTCTTGATCTCTCAACTGCACATCATCTCCCCGTTTTAAAGCCAACAAACTATTTTTCAGATCATTTTGAATTGTATTCGGTCCGTAAGTGTGATTTATTCTGAGGAAGTTGCTTTGAGTTTTTTGGACAGAAAAAAGGTCTCTGTTTAGTCTGCCTTTGATTTGCTGAAGGAGTTTCTGCAGATATAGGCATGTAAAGATACTGTCCAAATTGTATTTATGGGTTTGATGACAATCAAGCTAATATGTTACATCAGATGTTCCATCATCATTTTTGTAGATCGAATAATTATAGTTGTTAATCAGTGGCTGGTAAAAGCGTAGGCCGTATGCAAATGGATGGAGTTACAGAGGAAGGGGAAATTTGAGCCACTTTTATAACTGTAAGGGCATAGATGGACGGATAGTATAATATTAAGGGCATATGTGGACCAATAATATAACGGAGGACAATATTGAACATTCAATAATAGAGAGCAAATACAACCGTTTCCCTTAATAGAATACAACCCTTTCCCTAATAGAATGGTCGCACACATTTTAGTACGTCACTGAGTTAAAAGTGTCTTACAAATTGGACTAAAGAGTATTATTCTATTATATAACATAATAATTTATGACCTTAGTTTTGTTCTAAGCAATAATTCAATTCTTCAAGAATCAACTTGGATTTACTTTCAATTTAGTATAAATGGAGCATGTCAGGACACATAACTGAGCTTTTGGATTACTGAAACATCAGAGGAAGGAATTCCAGTCAACTAAAATGAATTGTTTTCTTTTGTTTTATTTTTGGTGTAAACAGAGTTATGTAAATGATGCTGAAGCAGTGATAGATCTCATAGAATCCTTTTAAGATAGAATGGGTATTCTTCTGGCGCTTTGTAAATACTTTTGACAGCTATGTCTGCTCGGACTCTCCAAAATGTTGCTGCACATGTGTCGGTTCACATTTTTGGAGGGCCTAGAACCCGCCCACTCAAAGGCGTTTTGAAGAGTCAGAGCAACATAGTTTGACAGCACCTTGTGGTACTACATCTATACAGTGTTATCAAAGGCGCGCTTAAGCCCTGAAGCGAGGCTCAAAACGTGTTGAGCGTTTCGCCTCGCTTTATGTGCGCTTTAGTGTCGTCATCAAGGTTCTAAGGCAAACATTTCCTTGCCAATGAGCCTCTTATGAAGAAGTGAAACTAAATAATTGATATTTCACTTTATCATAATTTTTTTTTTCAATTTCCTTGGTCATATATTTTTCATTCATGTTTATAATTATTAGTCTTGGACTAAGCATATATATTTGTATTCTTTTCTCCCTTTGTGCCTTTTTTCATTAAAGCCCACGCTTTATTTGCTCTTTGCGCTTAAAGCCCCCACAGACCTCAGAGCTTTTTTGCGCTTTTCGCCTTTGATAACACTACATCTATAATGCACTTACCATTTTTCAAAAAAAAAAAATTAAAGTATTTTTGAAGAGGTTTAAAATGAAATAGAAGAACTGAGAAGGATGAGATAATGTGTAAAAGATAGGAGAATGAAGCGTAGTAAAATACGGTGAAGAATATTTTAGTAACAGACCTGTTAAACTCTATAATTGCTCTAGTCAATTGTAGGATTGTTGGGAACATTTTTGGCTTAAGGCTTTTTAGGAGAGATCCACTAGTTCTTAATCAGAAAGAAAGGAGAGATCAACTATGAGATGCTTTGAGAGTATTAGTAGTCCCATACACAGGATCAAAACGAATTGCATAATCACTTTTTGCTATTGGTGCAGTTTGGAGTATGTAGATGATCCTATAGTTGTTATAGATATCCTAGGTTCTTTGTAAGTTGTAGTAGGTTCTAGTTTTGTATTGTTTTGAGTACTCGCAACTGTATGTAGCTCCATGATGTAAATTTGGGATCCCAGCCTTTAGTGTTGAAGATTAATACACAAAACTGTTACCTTTGTCAAAAAAAAGAAAGGAGAGATCAACTGGTTACGTAGTAATTTGTGTTAGGGTATAATAACCTACAAACATTTTACCTAATTTTTAGCATAGTTATAGTCCCCCTTTTTGTTATTTCAATTGAAGTACTGTACTTTGTTACAGTAGTGGCCTTAATAACATCATTTCCACTCATTATATGAATTATTTCTGCAGATCGCTGGTAGATTTGGCTCCCAAATTCCAGTAATTACTTCGATATCCCAAGGAATTTTTGGGCAAAATGCTACCACTAATGAGTTTGAAGAGGTGAATCTAATGGATATATATTAGAACCTATTTGGGATTTTGCATTCTGATTGCTTTTAACAAGAATTGAAGTGCAGAAAAATGATGTTTTTTCCAGGTTCAGTGGGACACATTTGATGAGGAGGAGGAGGCTCATGCCGATCTTGGTAATGAGATCCACGGTGCTTTACTAACTGTTGGCTTCTTGCCAGGACTGGCAATTGATTTAATCCCATTATCAAAAACTCGGGTAATTTTTTGCTCCAGTAGTCCTAACATATCTTTAAAATATGAATGCCCGCCTTATTGTGAGAAATTTGAACTTCCACCTTTTAACTTGATTTTCAGTTCAAATTTTATGAAGTTCCTACTAGAGAATTTGTGCTGACTTGATTCAATATGGGATATACTAACTTGGGGAGAACAAATTTCAGGGAAATCAAGTACTCATGATTGATGATCTCGTGCTCAGTGTCAGGGAACGCTCATCCTCTCGTTCTGGATCAGCATCACCGGTGGGGATTTTGTTATTTTCTGTAAGTCCAAAGTCTTGTAAACCTATCATTTTGTTATTTCTGGCACCCCTGTGGCAAAGCAGTTTATTCCAATGATGCCTAATATTCTATAATTGTGGATAAGGGGATAAAATTAGTTCTTATGCAATTCAGATTCTGTATGAGTGCCTGGACTAGTCAATTTGGATTTAGAGTGAGTCGGATTAAAATGCTTGAATGAAATTTGAGGGATTGGAGTTTTTGCTTTTCTAGTATATAAATATGATCAACCTTTTTTCTTTTTACATTAAGTGTAACAAAATCCATTTGAATGTTGTTCTAGGATGAGGATACTGACATCAAACTTGTCCTTGAAAAGTTTGGTGAGTTGGCTTCATAATTGTTCATTTATGAAAAACTTTATTTGTTCACATTTAATGGATGCTGATTTGTCTTTGTATTTGATTCTGTGAGAAACAAGTTATATTACAAGTGTCACCTTTTGTGTTTGTAGATTATGCCTTTTCCGCTGAGACTGTCATTGTGGGTGACGGAGGTTCTCAGTTTTTATACCGAGGTGAAACTGCAATTAATCCTTCTAATAACAAAGCGGCGAGTTCAGCTGCTGTTGCTCTTTTATTTTCAAGGGATAGAGGCAAACCTCCTGGTACGTGTTGCTTTTGATTAAAATTTTACGGTTTCAAGTTGTGATCCTGTTTGTCTGATAACAAAAGCTCTATTTTACAAGGTCGTCACGAATGAGTATTGTTCACTAGGTTGTTTCAAATAGACCCAAAAAATTTGGGGCCAAATTAAGCCGGTTTATCATATTCTGGAAAATACATGTACACACGAACTAATGCACACAAAAAGCTAAGAAAGTCCTGAATTTCAGATTTGTGGCCTGAAACTCCAAAGAGCAACATCGGTCCTTAAGAAACAATATGCATTGTTCATTAGGTCGTTCCGAATGGACCTTTAAAAGAATACGGGGTCAAACAGAGTTGGTCAGTCATATTTCATAAAATTCATAAACTTATACACATGAAAAGCTGAGATAATCATGAATTCCTGTTTTGTGACCTCAAAACTTGAAAAATGCATAGACTAATAGGCACAAAAAGCAGAGATAATCCGAATTCTCGTGATCCCGAAACTACAAAAAAGCGACTTTAGTCCTTGAGAAACAATGAGTATTGTTCATTAAGTAGTTTTGGATGGATCCACAAAAGTGGGGACAAACAAAGTTGGTCAATTGTATTTTGAAAATTTCATGAACTACACTTGAAAAGCTGAGATAATCTTGAATTCTAGTTTTGTGACCTTGAAACTCCAAAAAACGACTTTGGTCCTTGTGAAACAAAAAGTATCGATCGCTAGTTCGTTTTGAATGGATCCACAAAATTTAGGGCCAAGCAAAGTCAGTCGATTGTATTTCGAAGTCATAAAATTCATGGACCTATACACACGAAAAATTGAGGTAATCATGAGTTCCTATTTTGTGACCTCAGAAACTTGAAAAAATCATAGACTAATAGACACTGAGATAATCCTGTATTCTAGTTTAGTGACACAAACTCCAAAAAAAAAACGATACTGGTCCTTGAGAAACAAGAAGTATCGTTCAACAGGTCGTCTTGAATGGATCCACAAAATTTTGGGTCATACCTATTTAGTGGATCGAATTTCAAAAAATTCATCTATTAATACACATGAAAAACTGAGATAATCCTTAAGTCTTGTTTCGTGACCCTACTCTAAAATAAGCAATGTTGGTCCTATAGAGGCAATAAGGTATCGTTCACTAGGTCATCCGAATGGACCCACAAAAATTTGGGGGCTAAATGGATTCTGTCGATCGTATTCCGAAAAATTCATCGACTAATATATACACCGAAAGTTGAGATAATCTTGACTAGTGAATTCTAGTTTTGTGACCCCGAAATTCCAAAGGAAGTCCAGTCCTTGAAAAACAATGAGTATCGTTGAGTCGGTCGTATTGAATGGACCCACTAGATTTGGGGCCAAACCAGGTAGGCATTTCCCCAAGGCACTAATATGATGACTCTTGAACCATCAATAGAATGAAACAAAATAAAGTCAGTTGATCATATTTTCAAAAACTTCATGGACTAGTACACATGAAAAACTGAGATAATTTTGAATTCTTGTTTCATGACCCCGAAACTCAAAAAAAAAAAAAAGCGATGTTGCTCCTTGAGAAATAATGAGTATGGTTGTTTAGGTCATTTCTATTGGTCAATCGTATTCCAAAAAATGTCATGGACTAATACAGATAAAAACCGAGATAATATTGAATTCCTATTTCATGATTACAAAATTCTAAAAAAAGCGACATCGAACATGGAAAAGCAATGAGTTTCTTTCATTATGTTGTTTTGAATGGACCCACAATTTGAGGTCAAACGAAGTCAGTCAATCATATTCCGAAATATTCATGTATAAGTACATGTGAAAAACTGAGATAATCCAAAATTCTTATGTTGTGACCCCGAAACTGCAAAAAAAAAAGTGACGTCAGTTTGGTAGAGGCACCAAGTATCATTCACTGGGTCTATTCGAATGGACCTGCAAAATTTTGGGCCTTACGGAATTGGTGGATCATATTTCTAAAATTCATGGAAAGTAGTGATGTCAGTCCTTGAAAAACAGTATGTATTGTTCACTAGGTCGCTACGATGGACCTAGAAAATTTGGTCCTAACAAAATCGGTCGATTGTATTCTGAAAAATTTATAGCTTGAGCACCGTGTAGTACATTTGACCTGTATTTTTCTGAATAACTTCAGTAAGTGCTACCCCATGTGCTTTCTCAAATGAAATTTTATCCTCTTTTAACTTTGTTGTTGCTCATGATCTTTTGGATGCATTTCCTTGGTACTTTTTTAAAATTCTCAGTATTTTTAGAGTCATGCCGCTGCTTTTTTAGCAGTTATATCCGTAAATATAGTTTAAAATATTAGATTCCTTATCTTCTAGTTAATATTCTCGTTACTTCGTATAATTTAGTAAATTATAAGTCAAGGGAGTTTATTGTGGCAATCATTTTCTCGGATCCTTTAAACAGGTGTTGGGGAAACTCAGTTTCACGTAATGTTATCCACTGGCATTTCATCGATTGGGCCTACATACAAAGCTGTTTCTGTTAGGGAGAGATCCAGTGACTACTCCACTTGGCTCACTGCAAAAAGAGAAGCAGTTCATGGAAGTCTGGATGGTCAGACTATTTTAGATCAGATTTATGATGAGGTAAGGTAGTACATCTTGTGAAGAAAATTGGAGTTAATGTATCAGCACTAACTTTTAACTAGCTAGTTTCTGAAGGAAGTAATTTACAGCTGGTTTGTTTAGAAAGGAGACTATCAAATGCTTACAAGATATGTAGTGTAACTAGTCTCGTTTCCTCTTCCTCTGATTCCTCCACCGTAGTGAAGCCTTTTAAGTTCAGAATTGTGGGGAGATCCATCAAATGCCAGAATACTGTTGCCTCACTTTAGCAGGGATGAGCATGCAATGTGTTTAGAGAGATGCATTACGGCAGATTGGAGATATTTGGATGATTAGAGTCTATCATTCTGTCTTTGCTTATTTTCAAATTCCATTGGTAGATCTCAAAGAATGTGGGCCTTACAAATCAAGGCTATAAAAAGTTTTACAGAAGTATGTTTACTACCCCTTTTCATAAGAATACTTTATAGAAGTACGTTTATTATTTGATCTATTGTCGCATGCACAATTGCAAAAGGCATATAATAAGATATGAATAATAAAACTTCGTAAAAAAAATAAAATCCTCGAGATGAACCAAAAAAAATAAATTGCTTTTGTTAATCAGGTTCCATAGTGGTTTACTAATCTTTCTATAATGCCTAATTTGAAAGTGAAGGTTTCTTGGTTGGAGATTATTTTTTACTTAGCCGTTTAGAACTTAGAAGCTGTCTAAGTGATGCCATTTAGAACTTAGAAGCTGTCTAAGTGATGATATATTTTGCTCTCCTAGTGTACATGATACATCATGTGTGTGTGTGTCAACCCATGAACATTGTTGAGTTTCCACATCAGTGTGGGGATGGGAAACTGGTTTCTTTATATATGGTATTGGACAATCCTTGCCTAAGGTCCATTTCTTTACATGGCATTAGAGCTAGACTCATCCCAATTTTACTCGATGTTGGACTCCTATCTTATATTATCGGAGTGCGAGAAGGTGTTGAGTTTCCACAATGGTGTGGGTACGAGGAATTGGTCTTTTTATATTGTCTTGGGCAATCCTCACCGCATGAGCTAGCTTGTGGGGTTAGATTGGGCCCAAGTTCCATTTCTTTACATACAAATTCACATTATTCTCTGACTTGAGATGGTTTCTCTATTATTTGATTTTTCCAGCTTGGAGGTCATAACAATTGTCCAGTTCTATATGTTGGAGTAACGAAGAGAAGGAAATGCTCTATTGGCCAGGAAAAACCAAGCTGGATAAGTACACATGAATTCCATGAGGTTTTAAGGTGATTAATGCACCGTTGCACTTGATTATCCGTTTCTGGTCTTCACTTATGATGTTTGAATGTTCTGCTCTCCGTCTTTACTACCTTTTTTGTGTCCTGAGGCGATGATTTGCACATGCTGGTAGAGGGACTGTTGTCCAAGAAGTTTACATGGTTCTTGGAGAGAATAGGGAGTCCTCCTCACCCAAGTTTGTTTCTGCTAACGTGGAAAGCCATGTTAATTTTAGTTGAAACCACTATGCTCATAGTCTAGTACATTTTTCGTTGTCCTCTTCACTTCTGTAACTAATTGTAAGAATTTGCAGAGGTGATGAGGAGTATCTGTATGTCCATGGTGTTGGTATCAGAAGTGGAGACTCCTTCCGGTTTTACCATGCAAGTTCTGATTTGGCGCGTGCTTCTTGCAACACTGTTGCAAATAACTTCAGACATTTGAAGCAACTTCTTAACTACGAACGTGATGATCATACTAATAGCAACAGTGTAGCTATGCAAAAGAAGCCTGTGTTTGGTGGTATAATGTTTGCTTGCTGTGGTCGTGGCAAGTTATTTTTTGGTGAACCTAATGTAGACGGCTCACCTTTCTTGGAGAACTTCTCTGGGGTTACTTTCTCAGGAACCTATTGTACCGGAGAAATTGCACGTGCAGATTTAAGCTCATACGAACAGGGTTCTCAGGAACACAGCTCTATACGTTGCAATTTCCACGTATTTAGCACCGTTTACCTGGTTATGTCATATACCCCTCCATCGCCACAACATTAGAGATAGCTGGTTTTGCCATTGACAATCCTGACGGGTAATGGCAAAAGAAAAGAATTTTTTTCTGGAATTTTGTACTTATAATTTATTGCTGTTTCTTATTAGTAGAAAAAATTGTGTTGTAAATGACACTACTGCAAGAATTGTGCTATTTTTTGAGTTGCTCTTCCATGTATGGCTCCTACACATTCTTATGTCACATTCAACCTCACAAAGTATGCCAGGTATTAGAAATGTCGAGTTTAATCAGTTTTATACGACTAACCCCATACAATAATACTTATGATGTCCCCTTTAGAAAAATGTAAATAATCTAAAACTTTTTTTCGGGAAAAATAGACACAAATTTCTAGGAAACTAACACTTGTTTTGAACAAGAAGTAAAAACAAATATTATAATACACACTAAAAGTTGAGATAGTCATGAATTCTTATTGCATACATGACCCCAAAACTCTGAAAAGCAACGTCAGCCCTAGAGAAGCAATTAGTGTCGTTCACTAGGTCTCTTCGAATGGGCCAACAAAATTGGTAACCAACAAAATTTGAGGCGAAATGGAATTGGTTAATAGTATTCCAAAAAATTCACGGAAACAAAGATAATCCTTTTTTTTTTTTTTTTGTGATTCTGAAACTCTAAGAAAACTGATATCAATCCTAGAGTAGCAATGATATCATTCACTAGGTAATTACGGATATTCCTACAAAATTTGGAGATAAAAATTTTTGGACAATAATATTTACAAAATATGTGTACTCTAATACACACGAAAAATTGAGGAAAATCATAAATTTCTATTTCATGACTTCTAAATCCCAAAAAAAAAGTGGTGTGGATCCTATAGAAGCTATGAATATAACTTGTTAGGTAATTACAGATGGTCCTACAAATGTTGGAGACAAATTTTTGGACAATAATATTTACAAAATATGCATAGTCTAATACACACGAAAAATTGAGAAAAATCCTAAATTTCTATTTCATGACTTCTTTATCCCAAAAAAAAAAGTGGCGTGGATCCTATAGAAACTATGAATATAATTTGTTAGGTAATTACAGATGGTCCTACAAATGTTGGAGACAAATTATTGGACAATAATATTTACGAAATATGCATAGTCTAATACACACGAAAAATTGAGAAAAATTCTAAATTTCTATTTCATGACTTCTAAATGCCAAAAATAAAAGTGGTGTGAATCCTATAGAAGCTATGAATATCATTCACTAGGTAATTACCGACGGTCCTTCAAAATATGGGGTCAAAAAGTCTTGGACGGTCATATGTACAAAATAGTTATAAGTTAGTACACATAAAAAACGGAGTAAAATTCTGAATTCTTGTTTCGAGACTCCTAAACGCTAAAAAAGTGGCATGAATCCCAATAGAAGCTATGAATATCATTACGAATGGTCCTTTAAAACATGAGGTCAAAAAGTTTTGGACGGTCATATTTACAAAATATTCATAGGTTAATGCACACGAAAAACTAAGTAAAATCTCAATTTCTTATTTCGAGACCCCTAAATGCTAAAAAAAAGTGATGTGGATCCTATAGAAGCTATGAATATCATTCACTGGGTAATTATGGATGGTCTACAAAATATGGGGTCGAAAAGTTTCGGACAGTTAAATTTACAATATATTCATATTCTAATACACAAGAAAAATTGAGAAAAATCTTGTTCGTGATCCCTAAACATTAAAATATGTGACATGGATTCTATAGAAGCTATGATATTATTTACTAGGTAATTACGGACGGTCTTACAAAATTTGGAGACACAAAATTTCGAACAGTCAAACTTACAAAATATCAGTCTTATACACACAAAAAAATTAGAAAAATTTAGAATTCCTATTTTGTGATGCTCTAAATGCTAAAAATGGCATAAATACTATAGAACTGATGAATATCATTTACTAGGTAATTGCAAATAGCCTTACAAAATATGGGATCAAAATGTTTTGAACGGTCCTATTTACAAAATATTCATAGACTAATACATATGAAATAATTGAAAAAAGTACTGATATTTTATTCCGTGACCCCTAAATGGTAAAAAGAAAAGTGATGTAGATCCTATAGAAGCTATGAATACAGATGATCCTACAAATATGGGTCAAGAAGTTTCGGATGACCATATTTACAAATCTGCATATGCTAATACTCACATTGAGAAAATTCGGAATCCTATTTTGTGAGCCCTAAATGCTAAAAAAAGTTGCATAAATCCTATAGAAACTATAAAAATATTAGGGATAAGACACAAGTATCTCTAGAGTATGACCGAAATCCCAGAGACACGTCTTAACTAAACTAAGGTCCTATTGCCCCCCCCCCTCCCTCGAACTCATTTTTTTATAATTTTGTACACCTTTTGGATCGTGACTCTAGACAGTTGAGGCGCGTGGGAGATATTTGGATGCCACATAAACCAAGATGTACAAAGTAGGGGTGTACATGACCGGGTTGGTTCGGGTTTTTCAAATATCAAACCAAACCATTTGTGTTGGATTTTTAAATCTATAAACCAAACCAAACGAATAAAAGTCGGGTTTTTCAACCTCGGGTTTTATCGGATTTTTTCGGGTTTTTTGGATTTTCGGGTTTTTTCAGGTTTTTCCGGTAAAATATTCATACAAACATATAATTTACTTGTACTTCAAATATTTCTTTAGTCCTACCAAAATACAATTATCTAAGGTGTTTCTTAAGAAAATAACACAAAATATGATATTAGTAACGACACTAAAATATCCAACAAAAAATAATAATAATGAAATCGCGTAAAACAAATATTGCAAATTATTAACAAGTCATAATAAAAATGATCATAATTGAAAAGTACTAAATCATGCTAAAATAAATTTAATAAGTATTAGTTACATGACTAAATATTAAAGGAAATTAAAATTAGATTATGTATTTGAATTGTCTAAACCAATGTAAAACCAAAGAACAAATATTCAATATTATTTTTATTCTTAGTGTTGAATTGATTTTCTTTTTGCATTAGTATTAATTTGATTTTGATTTAATCTTTATTATAATTACCAACATTTGTGGACCATTCTTTATTGAATCATTCCGAATTCCAAGTTTCAAACTTGAAATAATATATTAAAAGATAAAAACTATGAAAAAGTATAAGAAATATTTAAAAATTATATCAAAGTAAATATTTTTATGTATAAAATAAAATTTAAAATTATATATACAATGTCGGGTTGGTTTGGTCTCGGGTTGGTTTTTTTTAGTTAAAACCAAACCAACCCAAATATAGTTGGATTTTTTTTTTCAATACCAAACCAAGTTTTCTTGGTTTGACTCGATTTGCGATTTGGTTCGATTTTCGGTTCGGTTTTGTACACCCTTAGTACAAAGTTACAAAAGAAATGAGTTCAAGGGGTAATAAGACCTTAGTTTAGTTAAAGTGTGTCTCTGAGGTTTCGATCATAGTCTAGGGATACTTGTACCTTATCTCAAATATTATTCACCAAGTCATTACGGATGGTCCACAAAATTTAGAGTTAAAAAGTTCCATACATGCATATTTACATTATATTCATAGACTAATACACACGAAAAATTGACATAAAAAATTATGAATTTCTATTTTGTGTTCCCTAATAGCTAAAAAAATGTGGTGTGTATCCGATAGAAGCTATGCATATCATTCACTAGGTAATAACGGATGACCTTACAAGATTTGGAATCAAAAAGTTTCAGATGAGCATATTTACAAAATATTCATAGATTACACACGAAAAACTAAGAAGAACCTTAAATTCTTGTTTTGTGACCCCTAAATACTAAAAAAACGTGGTGCATAGAAACTATGAACATCATTCACTAGTAATTACAGATGATCCTACAAAATATGAGGTCAAAAAGTTTTGAACGATCATATTTACAAAATATTTATAGGTAATGCACACGAATAATTGAAAAAGATTCTGAAGTCCAATTTTGTGACACCTAAATACTATATAAAAATGGCGTCCATCCTATAATAGAAGTTATGGATATAATTCACTAGGTAATTACTGTTGGTCCTACAAAAGTTGAAGTCAAAAAATTTCAAATGGTCATATTACAAATAATTCACAGTACACAAAAATTGGGGAAAAAAATAATCTGAATTCCTATTTTGTGACCTATTAACGCTAAAAAAATAGTGGAAATTCTATAGAAGTCCTGAATATTATTCACTAGGTAATTATGGATGGTCCTTTTAAATTTGTAGACAAAAAGTTCCGGACAATTATATTTATGAAATATTCATAGATTAATACACACAAAAAATTGAAAAAAGTTCTGAATTTTTATTTCGTTACCTCTAAATGCCAAAAAAAAATGGTGTTGATCCTTTAGAAACTATGAATATCATTTACTAGATAATTACAGATAGTCCTACAAAACTTGGAGTCAAACTGTTCCAGACAATCATATTTACAAAATATTCATAGGCTAAAATATACATACAAAAAATAATAATCATGAATACATGTTTTGTGACTCCTAAATGCTAAAAATAAAAGTGGTGTGAATCTTTTAGAAGTTATGAATATTATTAACTATGTTATTACAGATAGTCCTACAAAATTTAAAAGTTTTGAAATATTCATATGTTAATACACACAAAATATTGGAAAAAATAATCTTAAATTCTTATTTCGTGACCTTGATAGCTAAAAAAAATAGTGTGGATCCTATATAAGCTGTGAATATCATTCACATTTCACTAGGTAATTACAGAAATTTAGAGTGACTAAGTTTTAGACTGACATATTTACAAAATATTCATAAGCTAATACACACAAAAAATTGAGAAAAAAATTTGCAATCCTGTTTCCTGATCCCTAAACGCTAAGAAAAGTAGCGAGGATCCTGTAGACACTATGAATATCATTCAACTGTTTAAATTCCTTTGCTAAAGTTTTCACTCTATAATCTGATGAGTCACCATAGAAATCGAATTGAGAAAGGTAAAAATAGGACTTCTATTTCGATTGTTTAGCTATTCCGCGTTTAAAGAGGCGGTACTATAGAAGGGCTAATTGCTTTAGGTAATTATAGATGGTTCAACAAAATTTAGAGTAAAAATGTTTAGACATGCATATTTACAAAATATCCATATGCTAATACACACGAAAAATTGAAAAAAATCATGAATTACTGTTTCGTGACCCCAAACGCTAAAGGAAATTGTGTAGGTTGTATAGAAGCTATGAATATCATTCACTAGGTAATTATAGACGGTCATAAAAATTTGGTAATCAAAAAGTTTCGGACAATCATATTTACTATAAGGCAATAATGCACACTAAAACACTGAGAAAAAATCAGAATTCTTATTTCTCGACCCCTAAGCGCTAAAAAAAGTTGCATGGATCCTATAGAAGTTATGAATAATATTCACTAGGTAAATACGGATGTCCTACAAAATATGGAGTCAAAATGTTTCGAACGATCATATTTACAAAATATTCATAGGCTGTACACACAAAACACAAATAAAAAAATTATACTTTGGATTCTTGTTTCATGACCCTATACAATCGAACAAAGAAAAAAAATTGTAACAAATGTTTTACGTTTTTTCAATCTTTAAAACCTGAATGCTAAAGAAATAAGATAACTGGAAAAGAAAATTAAGTAATTACTAAGGTTATCCTCCCCCTAAAGGAAAAAAAGAAAAGAAAAGGTTATCCTCCCTCTGTCACATGTTAGTAGAGGTGGATCCACATGGGGGATGCACGTAAATTCATCAACTTTGAAAAAAAATCATGTGTATTTATATATCTATCTATCTTGAGAGCGGACATAAATTAGGATATAATTAGCAATACACCTATAGAGGACATAGAAGTGCACTTGAGCTGCTAGTACAAGCCAAATCACCCACTTGCGTGACCAAGGTTTGAGCCCGACTAGAACCCTATTTTATTGAGCTATCAAAGTAAAGTTCAAGTATTATAGATCTATATATTTTACCAATCCAACATTACATTATTCGTTAATATATAGCCATCGAAATTTTTGCTATGGCCTAAATTAAGATGATATTGGTGCACTCTGCGTATTAGTTGTCCCTTTTACACGCTTTTTAAAATAAGAAATGTTTTAAGCTAACTAATTTTACCTACACCTCGTAGATATAGAGAAGTTGTTTCTGATAGACCCTCAATTTGAATAAAGCATTCCAAACAGTTTGAAAATGAATTTTCATCAAATGTATTTATTGGTTGGTATACAACAATGTTAACATCTATCAGGTTTCTTTCTAGCCTCAGAGATTTTATTTCCTTCTAGTCCCTCAGTTCCTATTTTCTGCCTCAGTAATCTGTACAGAAATGTTGATGTTAACAGCATTGCGACGTCTAAAATTGCAGTGAGTATCTGCAGCATAAACGTGTCTAACTCGATGTCAAGTAGTCAGTATTTGTTGATGCCTACTGTCAGCTCCCTGATGTTAACTACTTAGTATTGTTCCTCATAGCCACCTCTTTGTTAACTTAGCTGAAGCTCCAGGAGTTTTGCAATTTCTACTTTCATTTGCACCTGTAAAATGAACGACGATTCTGTAAATGCTACATTTGATCAGTATTGGTTTTTAACTGAAATTTAACATTCATTTTACTTGAAGTTAATGATGAAAAACACACCTGAACTATCATGTGTTCATTTTATTCTACTTGAACTATCACCAACTATTTACAGAAACACACCATCGTTCAAGTAAGAAAAGGGAACAACTAATAGTTGAGGTATGGTTTTTTGATAAATAGTTAGTGATAGTTCATGGCAGGAAACATGCAAAAAACGTGATACTTCAGGTGTATTTTTGACCATTATCTCTTTTACTTACAAGAATCAGGCAAGCTCCCTCCTCCAAGTGAAGATCTCCTCGACATGATTGGTGGTGGAATGCCAGTTAGGGATTGTCTTCGCAGTGTCCTTGCATTAGATGTCATTGATGACGTCTCCTCATTTAGGCAATTCAAAGGTAGTGGGGCTGCTTCACTCTTTTTCTGTTGGTTCCTGTAAGTTTTCACAAGTAAATAAAACACAATTCTGCATTAGATTAATTGAGTTCATCTATATATATGGATTAATTGAATACACAAGAAAACCAACTGAAATGTCATCAGACAATGAATCACTTACTTTCTTTCAGATCCATTAATCAGCTTCCCAATAGTCCGAAGTGATCTTCGTATTTGAGATCCTTTTCCATGAGTACGGCTAATCAAAGTAGGCGTCTGGACTTCAGATGAAATTGTACGCTCACTTTGCATTGCTTCCTTGTTCTCATTTATAGAAGTTATCAGTGGCTCAGGTGTTTTGGGTAGTTGAAGAGAAGGAATCCTTGTTCTGTTATCTGTTAATTTCACACCCTGGCTTTTAATGGCAGCACTTGTCGGACTCCTAGGTGCATTGCAGCTCTTAAAAACAGAAGTTGGACTTAGAGGTGCCTGCTGGCTTTTGAAACCAGAAGTTGGACTCCGAGGAGGCTGCTGACTTTTATAAGTAGGAGTTGGACTCCGAGGAGCCTGCTGGCTTTTGAAACCAGAAGTTGGACTCAGAGGTGCCTGCTGGCTTTTGAAACCAGAAGTTGGACTCCGAGGAGGCTGTTGACTTTTATAGGTAGGAGTTGGACTCCGAGGAGCCTGCTGGCTTTTGAAACCAGGAGTTGGACTCAGAGGTGCCTGTTGGCTTTTGAATCCAGAAGTTGGACTCCGAGGCGGCTGCTGACTTTTATAGGTAGGAGTTGGACTCCGAGGAGCCTGCAGGCTTTTGAAACCAGAAGTTGGACTCCGAGAAGCCTGCTGACTTTTATAGGAAGAAGTTGGACTTCGAGGTGGCTGCTGGCTTTTGAAACCAGAAGTTGGACCCTGGGGAGCTTGCTGGATTTTAAAACCAAAAGTTGGACTCCGAGGAGCCTGCTGGTATTTGAGACCAGAAGCTGGACTTTGTAGAGCATCCTGACTTCTAAAAGCAAAAGGTGGACTCAGAGGAGCCTTCAGGCAACTATCATTACCGGCTTGATCATACAATTTTGTGACATCATCTCCCTCCTGAAGCTCAGTAGATTGCTGTAAGCACACAACTTCTTGCTGGTCGCGCTTGCTAGTGAGTTCTGATAATTTAATATGTTCGAGATTCTTGCTGGCTAATCTTGGCCCTTCTAAACTTAATCTTCTCGAACGAGTTTTCACAGCTGGAGTTTTGGATCCCTTTTCATCATCAAGGTTTGCCTTTTCTGTCCTCACGGTGGTGGTGCAATTCTCGATGCTTAATCTTCGAGCTCGTGGAGTGGATCTCTCACCTATTGGTTTTGGCTTCTGGAAAGGTGTCCTTGCTGCTTCCTTTGTTTTGTTAATTTGAGGAGTTAGTGCTTCCTTGTTAGCCAATGCCCTTTTTAGGGTCTCAATCTACAATCATTATCCAACATTATAAGCCCAAGAAAGTTTTCTTTGTCCTGTCTTGTAACCAACTACAAAAATGAATGCAGTAACAACAACGAAATAAAGCAAAATGGAGAGAAGTACACAACATACAGAAGAAAGAACAGTATTGACAACGCAATAATGCGACAACCGAAGCACAAAAATACAGCCTTCTCTATCTTGTAACCAACATTTAAGCCACTCTACCCTCCCCAAATCCCACCTGTGGGATTACACTGGGTATGATGTTGTCTTGTAACCAACATTTAAGCCACACTGTTATACTTATATAACCATATAGTATCATAAAATGATTGTATTTTACCTCTGCCTTGAGCTCTAAAACTTCGATGCTCTCTTTATTTAAACGAGCTGCACCAAGTTCCACACTCGAAACCCTCTGTGCAAACTTCAGAGTACTAATTGTTTCTCCAAATGAATCCCCTTCAGGACTGACATGAGCAAACATTAAAGTTTTCGCATGTCCACCTGAAATACACCAAAAAAAAAGCATTAGCAAACTATAAATACTTGTAACTGCAGAAGTCACTTGAGTTAAAAAAGAAACTCCTCCAAAATATTTCAAAGCCTAAGTTTCTATTTAGCTCAATAATCGTCTAGATCTGTCAAATAAGTTGCTATGAGGAGCGAAATCTTGAGCTAATTGCACAAACCTAAAGAGTTCTGCAAGAGTAATGTGAGTTTGCTGTTTCTATAAGGGATGTGGGAATTCTTCTGTGCTAATGCTGTGATCACATCGCCCAAGCAAGAGAGAGATTTATTAATATGTTGTGCCTCTTTGAGGCTGTCTCCAGTAACTTCTGACTTGTCAACTCGTTCACTACCAGCAAGATCCACCAAATGGAGGCAACTGTGGATTATGTTTCCAGATGTATCTTCACCATGCACGTGTACAGTCAGCACACTGCATGTATTTTAAGTGAACATAAGTACACTCGACAATTTTAATAACTCTGTTAAGTTGGTCTGAATGGAAATTGAGTAGAGATAACTTAAATACTGTTCAGTCTCACCTGTGTGAACGGCTACTACGGTTGTTCATGGCAGTACAGCCAACAGCGCGGTTCAAGTCACCAAGTTTCATCAGTTCTATAACATCTGTAGCGCAATTCACAGGATGCATGCTAGCATCAGGCAGAGGTAGACCATTGCCACTCATGCAGCTTCTAATCTCTAATGTATGAACAGTTAAGGGTGCAATTATATCACTTTCTGCCTTGAAGTATCTCAAATGAACTCATGAAATCTGGTGTAAACTAAGGAATAATTCAGTGAAAGGATATTTAGTAAGCAACGAATCGTCTGCCAGAAGATCATGAATTTGTTCATTGTATATCTCGACCATTTGAACATGGATCTTATAGCTCATGATGTCCTTCCTTTCATCAGATAGTATGAATAGATCATTCAGAGCCAATTGATTAATTCCGAACTCTTTTATTGATCCACCTCCAGGGCCAGACTGCCAAGAGAGAAATATTCGATATGAAGCTTCTGCATGCAAGTAAGGAATTATTTTTCGCGTATGCAAAGCTCTTACCATGGTATATGTTTTCCCAGATCCAGTTTGACCATAAGCAAAAATGCATACATTGTAACCATCCATCACTGATCTTACAAGTGGTTTAGTGTCTCGAAATACATCTTCTGCAAAATTAAGCAATGTTACACGATAAAACAACAACCTTTATAAAAATATGGAAGTTGTATCTTCAGCTGTACAATGTAACACACGGTATCCTTACCCTGAGCGGCACTTGGACCAAAAACACGGTTGAACTGGAAAATTTTCCTCCCTTCTTTCCAGGATTTTAGTGGGTCAATTACAACCAAAGAACCATCTTCTCCAATGAAATCTATGGCAGTTTTGGCTTCTGCATTGAAGGCAGGCCTTATTCTGCAGTAAACTCTAATATTCCCTGAAGAATAAATTAACACAACAGGATTAGAGAGCTTTTGTGGAGCAAAACTTTATTCCAATAGGTTCTTCAATGGGGGTAGAGTAACTCAGCATTTTACTTTTAGTTGATGTTCTTTTATATACATCCTTTTTCCGTCATTTTCGACTCTGTGATTTATCATTTTCTGTTTCCTCCAATCATAAAACAATGGATTAAGCCATTTATCTTGATTTTCTGTTATTTTGGAACTGATTTTCTATTGCCTCCAATCCCAAAGCCTTTCACATTGTTATATTTGTCGATGTAATCCTTGTTGATACCTTTCAGATCTTGAACCATGTTTTATGTTTCCTCCAATCATAAAACAATGGAAAGAGAGAGATAAAAAGAGATTAAGCCATTTATCTTGATTTTCTGTTATTTTGGAACTGATTTTCTATTGCCTCCGATCCCAAAGCCTTTCACATTGTTATGTTTGTCGATGTAATCCTTGTTGATACCTTTTAGATCTTGAACCATGTTATGCAAGGATCTGTTTTCTTTCATAACCTTATGATATCCAAGAGCAGCATTAGACATATCCAGTACTTGGTCTCCTGAAATCAGGATAATTCAAATTTCAACTTAGCTTTCAAATTATAGAAATGATAGTCGATAAAGATATATAGAAAGGTTTGTTTACAGAAAAAGCCTACCAAGTTGCTTCAGATCACTTTGTAGCTGAGACTGCAGATTTTCGAACTCTTTCTTTGTACTTGATAACAGCACCTTAAGATTCTGTGAGCTTAAAGTATTAGTCATCCAAGACAGTGATCTATATCAAATCAAGAAAATATTTAGCCCAAAAAAACATATATTGAACTGGAAAGGGTGTTCTGCAAATCAAAGCATTACAACTAATGCACTTGCAGACCACTCATGATTAACAGTCACTAAAAGTCTAAAAGTCAAAAACAGGAATAGAAATGAAATATCTTAACATGTAATTCACATACTTAGAGGGATGATGTTGACAGCGGAAAATCTTAGAAAATGGAGGTTGTATGCGTCAGCTGGTGTTACATGGGAAAGAAGGTGGGCAAAGGACGTGGATCATCTTCTACTTCATTTTGTGGGACAACCATGAGGTTATGGTGGGATTTGCTTAGGTGGTTCATCAGCACTTGATGGGTAATACCAAAAACTGTAAAAGATTTGATGTTCAGGTGGAAGACGAAGGACTTGGAATGTGGCTAGTTTGGAGAGAGAGAAATACGAGAGCTTTTGAAGGTGTAGAGTCGAGTTTCTCTCAGTTGAGGAGTAGTCTCTGCTCCCTTATTTTCTTTTGACGTAAACAGAAAGTTCCTTGTTGTATAGATGATTGGGCAGAGTTTGAACAGAATCATATTTTGTAGATTCCTTTCTTGTTGGTTTACCCTTGTATATTGTCAATTTGGCCATGTTTATGAATGAAATACATATTCTTGATTTTTTAAAATAAATACTTAGACAACCAAGCTACAACTTAATATTCTTACACTTTTCAATAGATTCGACAACGTTATGGTTCACCGTCATTAGCAACGTATTCATCTCTACTGCAGTAGACCATACTGTTCTATTTAGATCATCTAGCTACCTATGGTAGCGCAAAAAGTGCATGCGGCGCGGCATTTTTTACCAACTGAAGTAAGATTTTGGGGACCATGAAGCACATAAGGCCTTCTATTGATGCCGAGGTTTTCTTCATCTCTTATACCATCCAGAACCTTTTTACTTGTCCAGAGATCATTACAACAGCAACAACATACCCAATATAATCCTACAAGTGGGGTCTGGGGAAAGTAGGATGTACACAGACCTTACCCTACCTTCGTGGGTAGAGAGGTTATTTCTGATAGACCCCAGCTCAAAATATGTTAATGAAGCAAGATTGCAAGAATAAAATGACAGCAAAATAGAAAGAGATAAAGCAAATGAGGCAAAAGGAAATCAGGTTATTTGTCAAGAAATCAGTAGTTCTTAAGGACTAGGATCAATGTTATCAAAAGAAATAAGCGCAAAAGTGTGGGTTTTGATGAAAAAAAGGTGCAAATTGAGAAAAAAAATACAAATATGTATGTGATATATCAATTGTTTAGTCTCGCCTCTTCAGGAGACTTTCATTAGCAAGGAAACGTATTACTTAGAGCCTTGATAAAGACAAGTACAACTAAGTGCACATTAAGCAACGTGAAATGCTCAACATGTTTTGTGCTCAGTTAACAGATCAACTCTTTTCTGTGGATCAGCAAGAAACATGTATGGCTGTTGATACTTGAGGACAAAATTCACCCAAATGACATACAAGGACAAATTTCAAATAGAAAGCCCTGAAGGTAAGTAAATAGTAAATTATAATCTAGTTCAAGAAAGACTTACCGAAAGTTCCTTTTCTTGAATTGTAACTACAGTCCAGTGGTTGCATTTGCCCTTCTTTATGCAAGCTCTGCAACACTGCAAACCAGAACTTACCGATCACCATGATGCTGAAGCACGACGCTATGATGGACATTATATTTGATATACACACTTAAGTTCTGTGTGCAATGTCCTATTCATTTGGCCTTTGGACTAATGGAGATTGAGGATTCTAATTAGACTCAAGCAGTATATATAACACTACACTCAGATTGACTTTTGATCTTTCCAAATAGTCTCCAGCTACTACAATACTGAAATCTTTTTAAAAAATAAACATGTAGATAGTTTGATAATAGCCAAATAGACAAATTCCTTTCCATATAGTTCCCATGACTTTATAGATATTTCTCATCAACTCAAAAGTAAAAGACTCAGATTCTTAACAACTACTTTCATAATGGCAAGATGGACAAATTGAATGCTTCAAGGTTCACAAATGGGGAAAAATGCTTAACAGGTGACCAAGCTTACCTTTCGGTTTCTAAGATTAGATAAATCTTGGAGGGGTATGCATTTGGAGTTGTCTTCTGAGCAACTTATCTCTTTTAAAGGATCTGAGTTCAACTGCATGAGGAGGATTACAAGCTATATGAATCATATTTAAAGGACAGTCGGGAAATAATATCCAGATTTGACATTAGTTTACTGATCAATTTAGCAACACCAACAACAAACCTGGTGTAATCCTGCGAGTGAGGTCTGGTGAGTGTAGGATGTATGTAGACCTTACACTACCTTTTTAGGGTATAGAGGCTTTCCAATAGACCTCACCACTACCTTAGCAGAGTAACAATAACTTACAATTATTCCAAGTAATATTTCACCTAGGTTGCATGCATCTTTTGTAGCTAAGCTTCACTATAATGTAGCCCTTCTCTTAAAGGTTTACTTTCAAAATATGAAGTTATAGATGCTGCTGAGCCAATATGTAGGAGGGATTCTCATGGAAAACAGGAGGCTACTGTTTCAAGTTCATACATGAGTTACTAGCATATGTTTGAATGCAATAATCAAATGAACAACCTCGTTAAGAAATGGAACTAATAAATCATCAATATCTCTTTTTGAGAAAGAAATAGATCATCAAGCTCATGAGGTCCTTTTTTTTTTCTTCCTCATCATCTCTAAAGACCAAAAAACTGAAAGAGATGGCATATTAAGAGATGTTATGCAAATATGCATTCTAACTAAAAATATAGTTCAAGAAGAATGAGTCTATCAACGGAAATTCATCATTTTTTATCTTACTTGTCCAACAGGTACATATTCTCTTTAGCTGCATGTGGAGGATGGAGATGACATAGATTGAAAATTTCTTTTTGAAGATATGAAATGGAAACAAGGCAAATTCTCATGTCAAGAGTAATCCAATTACCTTAGGGGACTTGTTTTGAAGTTGTTCCTTGAAGCAGCTAGAGAAGATCCTACTGAACATTTCAACTTGGTTCTGTTTTGGAGAAAAAAAAATCTTGAAATGAACCAGCGATCATTGACTCTAAGAAAAGCCACAAACAGTCAGAAGCATACATACCGTATTCCCATTCCGAAAAGAAGCAAAAAAGTTATTGCCAATGTTTTCCTTCATGTCGACCATTCTTTCAGCTAGAGCCTTGACAATTATGCCTAAAAATCCAGTTTAAGAAACCAGAACAAACATGAATTAGTCAACGGAAAGTAGAAACTGACTCCGAAATAAGAATAGAATACAAGTTTGTTCATCATTATAAATCATGTCGAGATCAATAACTCACCTAAAACATTACTAGTTTTTCAAAACTAAATCTTATGATATTGAGTATGTTCTCAACAGAAGTTGCGACTTTGTTTCAACTATTAAATATGCAGTACTTTCTTTAGCATGAGAACATTCTTTTAATTGCATGCAAACGTAAAAGAATGCAAAGAAGCTAAAGAACTTCAACTTTACCTTCAAGTTTCTGAATTTCATCCTCTGATGGTGATTGTTTTGGAAAGCTAGCAGACATTTCCAATCGCCTGCGACTATCAGAATTGATTGTCACATGAGTTTGTGCTTGAATCCTTCCCCTAGAAGGAGTCAAGAGAGGAGACCTTAGAGGCTTATAACATCCAACACCTCCAGTCATTTGCTTCCACTCATGGTATGCTTTAAGTTCCAAAATGCAATCCACAACCTTAGTTGATGAACCTGCCTCTATGTTATCCTAAGAATGCACAGAATGAATTGAGAGGTTAGCATCTCTTTCCAGCCTTCATAGATTATAAAACTTAAAACAAGTCAAAATTAGCTACTCCCTCTGGTTCAATTTGTTTGTGTTACTTTCCTTTTTAGTCCATTTAAAAAAGAGTGCTTTTTTCCTTTTTTGGCAATTCTTTAGTTATAACTTTCCCCGCAGCATGTTTAAGACGGCTAGGTTGCTGGACATTTTGGTTCATTCTACATATCTTTAATTTAAGACGACAAGATTCAGAAGTCTTCTTTAATTTCTTAAACTCCTTGCTAAGTCAAAAGCAGAAAAAAAAATTGAAACAGAGGGAGTATAATTTTACCCTTTCAAAAACAGACGCCTCAAATGCTGGTAGCTTTAAATCTTCCACAGCTACCAAAAAGTTCCGAATGTTCTCAAAATATTGATATGCTGGCAAGGGCTGAGAATCCCACATGATTGACTGTGAAGGTGTGTGGTCTTCTACAACCTAATAACATAAAAACAACAACAAATGAAAAATGAATGTTGTATATAAAGAGCGGCTTTGGGCATACTAGAGAGTGTTGTACCTTTGGAACTGATCCTGTTTGAACTTTGTTAATTAAATTGCAAAGTACCAAGCCACTTCTCAAGCAAGAAACAAACTCTCTCTCGGAAGGCTGGCTTGATATACCTAATGGTCCGACGAAACATTCCAACCAGTGGGTTGCTTGATATCGCCTCAAAGCTACAAATACAATAAAAATCCAACATGAATCACATTCATTCCAAAAGGGAAAAATAATACTACAACATACCCAGTATAATCCCACAAAGTGAGGTTTTGGGAGGGTAGAGTGTACACAGACCTTACCCCTACCTTAGAGGTAGAGAGGAAAAGGGGAAAATAATACACAAAACAAAAAACTAACGCCTCCTGATTGGCCACCCTATCAGCGGAGGAGCTAGAGCTTTTCGCCCCCTTTAGCTTTGGCTCAAACTTTGTATTTGTGTTTAAATATCCACTTAATATGTATAAATAAGCTGCACTTTCTAAAATCCAGGCCACACAAACTTAAATTTCTATCCCCACATCAATACTACTTCAATCAAACAATTAACAAATACTTATACTGAAAATAATAAAAGGAAGAATGCTAAACCTGCTTCTTCAGCTTTCCTCCAAGCCAAATTGTATTCATGTCCCCTTCCTCTTGTTTGAGTCTCCATTAAAAATCTAATCTTTTAACTCTGTCCTCCAAAGAAAAAGATACAAAATGTTAAAATAGAACATATCTTTCAAACCCCTTAAATGTAAAACACTTCAATTGATAGTAAATCGAACACATTTCAAGAAAGCATTTATACTCATAAAAATGTAATCAATCCTAAAACCCTTTAATCCCAAATGAACATAAACCCTAAGAATCTCTTAAAAATCATCAAAATAATGAAACAGTTCAAAAAACTTGAACTTTACAAACCCCTTATGAAATTGTAAGAGAACTCTACATTTTTACATTAAGACATGTATCCTAAAACCCTTCAAATCACAAATTAACCTTCTCTTCATAACAATCAAACAGTAATATTCATTTGCAACAGAGAAATGTATCAATCCTAACACAAATCCCCATAGTTCAAAAAAAGATTACACCTTTAACATTATTCAAGAATCTTTTTTTATGTCAAATCAAGAAAATTTTTACCCAAATGAATAGTATGATTTCTAAAAATCTTTAAACCCCAAATGCACATAACACTCCATGAATCATTCCCAAATAATAATTTTTCAAAACAAATCCATAGTATACAGTATCGTCATCAACATTTTATATAGCTGAAACAATTATACATACTTTCAAGAATCTCACTTTCTCTCTACTAATGGTTAAAAGAAAATGAACCCCACAATTTTTTTTCACAATTTATGGAGATACAATTTGGAATCTTTTTTTTGGAGCTGAGGGAAATGAGAGTTAAAGAAGTATGAAAGTTAAAATTACTCTATGCTTTAGGTTTGGATCCGAACCTAAAGGCTCCGGAATCGTAACGTTACTTCCAAATTTGAATTCAAATTTGTGGGGTCTTTGATCTAAGCCGTTGATTGTTGCTACGTGGAATGATCATAGGCGTTGGATTTGATTACATTTAGAACCTAACCTTCTTTTTTTTTATACCAAGATATTGGTGATCTTCTTTTTACATCAATCAAAAGTGAAAAATGATCTTTTCTATTTTTAGTATAGATTTGTGTTTTTCTTTTCCAAAATATTTTCGAGTTGAGTCTAGAAGGCAAGATTAGTTAAAAGATTATAAAATCATAATTTAATGAACCGATTCGTCAGTAATGTTGTTTTTTTAAAAAAAAAAGATGATTGAATTATTCTAAGCATATGTTTAGTCTAATTTTTTTACTAGTCACTTCAGATTAAAAAAAAGCTGACCAAAGGTATTTAAATTATCTTTCTCTTTTTTGAAAAATAAATTAATGTTGTTATTCTAAGAAGGTAAATGATCATTAACTACTTATCTAAAATTCAAACACAAATTAGCATTCATTAATTAGAAAGAATTTTTTTTGGCTAATTAAGGTGTTACAGTAATAAGGGTGTGTTCGTCTCCACGATAAATTAAGGGGACACTCTATGTGACACATTTTTTTATTTTTTATTATATAATAAGATCCGTAGATTATAGAGTGAGGTTCGGAACAAATACGACAACTTTAAGGTCAAACATTATTAATTATTAAAGTCAAATCAACTGATTACATAATTTTCTTAGTCAACTTGTAATCTTCCTTTAATATATGTTTGACTTGTGGTTTGATTAAAATTCAAAAAGAGATAATGAATAACCTAAAGAAATTTATCACTAATCAAACGAGAATTAATATAAATCAAATTTTCTATGTTGCAATGCCATGAAAAGTGGAAACAAAAAAAATTATCTTATCAATAAAAGGAAAAGGAATATCAATTGTAGCCAGTTTCTCTTTTTTCATGCCAAATATGTTCACTTATCTGACTAATATTTTTTTTCTAAGAACAATTTATCTCAATCTACCTCTTCCATCTTTTTTCAGAAATATTGTGTAGTAAACGTATTAATTTTCACCAGTAATAAGTAATTATATAATTATATAAAAAATAATAGGGATCGGATAATGCATAAGTACCGCTAAACTATGACCGAAATTTCAGCAATACACTTAAATCTAACTAGGGTCCTATTACTCCTTCAAACTATTTTAAAATGGAATAAACACACACCAAAAGCTGCACAGTCTCTTGAAGACAAGTGAAGACCTAAAATATTGGACGCATATCATTTTTAATTGGTTTATTTTATAACTAGTATCCATACCCGCTCGTTGCACGGTATTTTTAAATGTTATAGTTTTTAAAATTTATTATTCACTTGTCAATATTTATTTATTTGTTAAAAAAAAAATGGTCTTAATAATACACTATTACTAATTATATGATCATATCAACTTAATGTTTTAGTACACAACTTTATTTATTATAATATTATTATTGTAATAGCTATAATCAGATATGTTTTTATTTACATATATTTTTGCTAAATTATAATAAAGCTATTTATTTCGTCTACAAAAATAATCAAATTTCAACTTTCGACATGAAATGTTTAATACCATAAGAGTAAAAACAAATGTAAATATTTAACATATTTATTCTTGAAAAAAGAATTCTTTTATTTTGTAAAACTATTTTGAACTCCACTTTTTCAAATTTTAGTAGTAAATATTTCTTGTCTTATGGTTTACATTTACAATTTGGGTCATTCTCTTTATATATTCTTTGTGGCATTCTTTTACGTTTGCATGTAATTAAAAGAACATTCTCATGCTAAAGAAAGTACTCAATATTATAAGGCATAGTTTTGAGTTGCTGAGAAAACTAGAATTGAAAGAATGCATATATTTTTGCAAGTTTTCATATCTTTTGAATAAATTGAAAACAAAACATAACTTTAAATATGCCTTTATTTCTGTAGTTTTAAATCTTTTAAAATAAACTTACTTAAATACGATGAAACATAAATTATTTAATTTAGACCTAGAAGAATTATTTAAGGAATAAAAATATAGTGTAAAACCTTAGGTTCAGTAAAAAATTATGTGTCTAGAATACTTTTAATGTTCTAGTTTAATAATAGTGCATAAACGTAAACCTAATTATAAGTGTAGTAATTGGTTATGTGCTTTGTGATCTAGTATGGCAATAAGTGTAGACTCAATCCGATGAGGCTCGTAATGGGCAGACCTAGATCGCTATCAAGGTTTGATTAGTTGTAACTAGGTCTCCACTCTAGTCCTTGTGTTAATATGAAAAAAATTATAAATAAGTGATCTAGTTTACAAAATATGTACACAATATATATGTGGAGAATATTTATACTAAATATATACGTACTGCGCAATAACATCTACGTACTATACATAAAATATACACACTTATACATAACTGGTATATAAATTGTGTATATTTTGATCATTTTTATACATAATTTGTAAACTAGTTGATTGAATTGTTTACTTTATGTTTGTATTTCTATAAACATACCATTTGGGTTATTTCACATCATTTGTTGTACACTAAAATCTCACTAAATTAATATTCGGTTAATTAATAATTTCTCTAAGATAACAATTTCCTCCAGTCCTGACTTGGGTCAATGAAAAAAATCACTCATCTCGATAAGATAATAAGATACTATATTTTCAGAAGACCCCTATATAAATATATTGTTCCATTAATATTATAAATTAATAATCCTTTAAAAGTACAAATATATCTAAGAAAATTTAGAGAAATATGATTATATTATGTTCAGTTTTTTGTTAAAATTTAAATCTCGTTGAAGCTGAACTCTAACTTTTCTTATTGCATCCACAAGTTTCAGTGTTGTCTTTTCTAATTGCACCATAAAATTGTGAAGAGTTCTAGATGCAATTGTTTCTTACGCGTAACTGCTTCCAAAGGTATTGTATCATCATCAAATTTATCATCAACATTGTTTTTCCAGTGATATCTACAATTTGTTCTAAGTTCTGGACCTCTGAACATGTATCATTTTCACTCATCTAATAGGTTATTAACGTTCAATTTATTGCGGTAACCGAGATCATTAATCATGATCTCAAGTTCATGAATGACGTTTTCTAAAGTGGGTTCTTTCAAATTTTTTGAGATTCTATCCTTGAACAATTTTTTCGGTGTTGAACACTCTTTAAATTAATAAATATTAATTTATTGATTAAATAATACTTCTATAAAAAATAATAATATTTCATGGTCCCACCTATATTAATTTAGAGAGGTTTTGTTGTATATGTTTGTTATCTCATTGATGTCATCATCTTATAAATTGTATTGTAACATAGAAGAAAACCCAACTCTTCTACAATCTACGATATGTCGAAAATGATACGTAACTATCTTTGTTAATCTAAATATATTTTGGGTAAACTACATAAATCTCACTAGTTTAGGTCCTAATTACTAAGATTTTCGATAGTTTCAAATATTACTTCCTCTACCATATTTCGTGCATAGGATACATGAGTCTGAATCCGCAAGATACTTGTATCTGCCAAATTTTAAAATTGAGATACATATTTTATTTGTTTAAATTAATTGGTTATAACTAATTTCTCTAATTAGAGGAGTAATTGAGGAGTTTCAGAATACATCGACAATTAATTTTGAAAATTTAAATTAATCGAATCTCTTAATATAAGACGGAAATCAAGGAGTGTATCTATGTTTAATTTATTTTATTTTATCATTATTTGGAATAATAAATTCATTAATATTATTAATAAAATACAAAAAACATGTATATCTTGGTCTTTTAATTTGATTAATTTCATTTTATTACTCTTAAAATAATGAATTCACTAATTTGATGTATCTATTATCTATATATGATGTATCCAACAAACTAAATATTTAGATACACGAGTATCATACAAGTACATTCATATGTACCATAGAAATATCTAATATTAATTTCATGTATTTGTTATATGTATCTAGGTATTAATTTCATGTATCTATTTATATGATCTAATATTATTTCATTATCTTTTATTTTTTATATTTGATGTATTAAGTATCAATTTCATATGTTATATTTAAAAACATGTATCTCATAGTAAGCATATACATCAAATTATGGAATGTAACTGAAACACATGAATTTAGGAATAAATCACGACGATAGAGTATTTATATGAG